ATATCCAGACTACAATACGTCAGATAGAACCCCAGAATTAAGTTAACATGTTACAACATCCGAACCAAGAAAGGCCTCATTGAAATGTATGTATATGAAGAACAATTTTACTTTGCCTGTGTTTCCCCCTTTCCCAAGTTGCCAAAGCTCAGCACTAAGAGAGAAATCCTTGTCTGTGTTTCTCTATTAGGTAAAGCAGATAGTGAGGCATGCATCCAGTATAACGTTCCAGTTTAATTCCTTCAAGGTGGCCTGAAGATTAATAGAAAGTGGAGTTATAATCTGTCATTAGTAGCCTCTGGTGGAATGAATTTTAACCTCTATCTGATGTGTGCATGTGTGTGTTCTGTTCAGTATATCAGAAGCAAGTACCCCTTTCTTTGTATCTGTATGTGTATGTCTGATCGTCCTTGCCTCTAATGGATGTGAACAATTAGAGTCCCAGTAGTTGTGTGTTTTTTCAATAGCTGAATGGGGTTTTAATTAATGATTCTTAGTCATGCATAGGTAGCTCATAGAACATTGATTAGCATTTTTTAACTTTCTCTTCTGTCCCTCTTTAAAGTTTCCCCCAATTCCTTTAAGAAAGTAAGTCATGAATTATTCATAACTAAGTGCACTAATTTGATCAATCTTTTCAAATAACCCTGGGTCAATTGAAATTTGACTTATGGGGCAACAGTCTATAGGAAGTCAACAGAGGCATCTACATTGTAGTTTTCTCCACTGTCATATCAAAGGTTCATAAGCCCACAGAAATAGTCAACCCCTAGAGGTGAAAAGGATGTTAAGTATCTGTGCCCATTCATTCCAAAAACAGCACAATCAATGCAGATTAGAAATTGGACAGACTTATTTCTCACAGGTCACAATACATCATCACATAGTAATAGCTTCTGGTTACCACTGATTTGATATGGATTTGAACAAAAGATTCAGAGTTTAATGACTATATTTCTTATTAATTATCCTTCTTTTTCTTGCCTTCTTTAGAAAAGCAACCCAGCACACTTCTCTTCAAAATGTTATGTCATATTTACACATTTCTTTAGCTATCATATAATAATCTCCCAGACAAGAATTGCTGCACATTTTTCATATTGCACATTAAGAAAGAGTCTTTTTTTTGTCCAGGTCATTCAATAGTTTAACATAGTCTGGAAAACAAAATGAGGATTGGGTTTAATTGTAGCATTCTATGTTCCATAGCAAAAGCTAATATTATATCAAATGGATTAGAAAATATTGAAAATATTTTGTATGAATACTTTCTCTTTGGATTACCTCAAGGTATATATGTAAATTTTGTAGAAAAACAGAAATTTCTGCCTATATAGTAAGACAGTGTTGACATGCCTTCCTTCACAGAGAGTCATATGTTATGGACTGGTTGGGAGGGTGGGTAAGGGATCAACCGAAGGACTTGTATGCATGCATATAAGCATAACCAATGGGCATAAAACACTGAGGGGTATGGGAGGCTAGGAGAAGGTCAAGGGGAGAAAAAAAAGGAGACATATATAATACTCTTTGTAATACTTTAAGCAATAAAACAATTAAAAAAAAGAAAAATGTAATCATTGGCAGTTGTATTATGTGATGCTTTCTGGAGCAATTTTTTTTCTATATGAACCCTAACTTTGAGATCCCAGGAAGTTAATAAACTATAAATCAATTGTTACCTTAAGCAGTTTTCAACTGATAACTGGATTTTGGTTTAAAAAAAATAAGGAGCATGATGCACTTACCAATAGATAGGTTTATCTTATCCTCAGAACAATTAAGAAGTGTTAGCAAGAACAGGAAATCACAAAAACCTGTTGCAGAGATAAAATAATTGAAATAATTGAGGTGAATAAAGGTCTCAGACATTCTCCCGCATCACTTGGTGAGTCCTTGGTACTATGAAAGCTAATAAGCAAAATTTTTGATTCCTAGCACTGTCTCCTGCATATTTATTCAATCTCTCTGTTACAATTACTGTTTCATCAACATTTTGAGTTACTTGATAAAAATGGTTTCCTTAATGATTAAATTTAGTTTTCTAATGTCCATACTTGACTTTTTAAAGTACTAAAACAACCATTAGAATAATAATCAACTGGTCAGAAGGCTTGCAAATATATTAAAGAACTATTGTAGTGTGACTTTAAGAACAAACCTTGACTTTCCAATGTGAGAGATATATGAAAAAAAATTAATAAAATTGAGAGAAGATGCACTGAAATATAAATGCGTTTGAAAAGTGGGAATATGGAAAGACTAAAAGACTTGAAATTATTTAATAGGCATTTAAAAGTTATGAAATATATAATTTGATAAGTTTGCAAGAATAGGGTGGTGCATGTTATAGATGAAGATCAACCAACATGCTTTGTTTTCCTGGAGCCTGGATGACAGGAAAATTCAGAATTACGAAACATATATATTACATGAACCAATTAAAATGTATTGATCTCTCACATTGTAGTACACTGAATTCTAAGATGCCCCCCTCCAATTCCTGCCCTCTGGTGTACATGCCCTGTATAATCTCCTCCTCTTGAGTGCGGGTAGAATCAATAAATACAATGAGATATTATTATCTTGACTATCTTGCATTATATGTTAAAAGGATTAGTTAAGTGAATTAAATTCCCCAATTAGCTGACTTTAAGATAGGTTGATTATTCAGATGTGCCTGATTTAATCACAAGAGCCCTTTAAAGTTGGGTCTAGAGTTCAGAGTGAAGTCAGATATTTGAAACATGAAAAGGATTTATTGCAATGTTGATGGCTTGAAGATAGAGGGGATCATGTGGCAAGGAATGTGAATGACCATTAGGAGCTAAGAGTGGTCCCTGACAGCCAGCAAATAAATGAAGCCCTCAGTCCTACAACCACCAGAAGCTGAATTCTGCCAATAAGAATGAGTGTGGTAGAGGCTTTTTCTTTACATCTTCCATATAAGAACCCCGCCTGGACAACCCCTTGATTTCAGGCCATACCAACAAAAACTGAGATAATGAATTTATGTCCTTTAAAATTGCTAAGTTTTTGGTAATTTATGATGTAGAAAAAGAAGACTAATACACACAGTGTATATAGTAGTGAA